AGTGTATTTACATTAATGTAGGCAAAACACAAACAAAAAAAGTAAAAATTAAAACACCAAAAAAAAAAAAAAAAAAAAAAGAAAAAGAAAAAGGCTGAGAGGCTGGATAAATGGCTCAGTAGTTAAGAGTACTGGTGCACAGGACACAGGTTTGGTTCCCAGCATCCACATGGTGGCTAACAGCCATCCACAACTCCAGTTTCAGGGGGGCCCAGTGCTGTTCTCTGACTTCCATGGGCATTGCACAACACGGGTACACTTACATACATGCGGGAACTCATACACATAAAAAATAAAAGTTTCAAAAGACATACTGAAAGTAACAGGAGTGCTTATGTGTAGAACTATAACCAGGCCTGGAGAGATGCTTGGTGGTTAATAAGAGCACTGGCTGCTCTTGCAGAGGACTGGGGTTCAGTTTGCAGCACCCACATGGTGGTTAACAGCTGTCCATAACGAGTTCAGGGGATCTGATGCCCCAGCGCTGGGATTATGGACCAGCTTTTTATGTGGATGCTGGGGATTCAAACTCAGGTTTTTATGCCTGTTCAGCAAGCACTCTTACTAAGCCATCTTCCTAGCCTAGCAAATGATTTTAAAAATGTAGTGATTTACACTTCAGGCACATCACAATGAGGACTAGTTACATTTCAAGTGCTCAGTAGCTACATGTGGCTGATGGCTACTGTGCTGGCCAGTGCAGCCTTGAATGTTTTAGTAGTATTCAAACATGAATGCAGGTCAATAGGCATGCAGTTTTTCTGGTATGTAGGAGATGCTGCAGATCAGTGGAGGAGAGGGGAGCAGCTCCTGAAGATGATTTAGCAAGCAAATATGAATGCCCTAATAATGTTTCATAATCTTTTGTAGGAGTTGCAATGTGTTATAAGAATGTTGATGGAATGTTTTTGAGTCATTTTAGAAGAAAGAATACATTTAAAATTTTTTTAGAATGGCAGCAGTTTTCTCAGAATACTGACTGTTAATTACTATTTTTAGTTAAAAATCTTTGATTTACTTTTTAAAACTATTTTATTTATTACTTTTATTTTATATGTGTGAGTATATAGCCTTCATGTATGTGAGTGCACCCGTGTCGTGCAATGCCACGGAAGTCAGAAGAGGGCTTCAGATTCCCCTGGAACTGGAGTTAAGGACGATTTGTAGCTGCAATGTGGGTGCTAGGAATCTGCAAGAGCAGTTAGTGCTCTTAATTGCTGAGCCATCTCTCCAGCCCTTGATTTACTTTGTAACTTGGTGTTAGAAATAATTCCAAAAAAAGATGCAGGGTCTGTGAGCATTAATTAGCTAAATATTTGAAAGAAAAACTCTTAATAAAACTAAAGCTGAGCTGGGCGTGGTGCCGCACACCTTTAATCCCAGCACTTGTGAGGCAGAGGCAGGCAGATCTCTGAATTCAAGGCCAGCCTGGTCTACCTAGTGAGTTCCAGGACAGCTGGAGCTACAAAGGGAGACCCTGTCTCAAAAAGACCAAAACAAAACTAAAGCTGGGAGTGGTGGCACACACCTATAAACCTAGCACTTGAGGGGCTGGAGAGATGGCACAGCAGTTAAGAGCACTGACTGCTCTTGCAGGGGACCCGGGTTTGATTCCCAGCATCCACATGGCGGCTACGAACCATCCTTAACTCCAGTTCCAGGGAAATCTGAAGCCCTCTTCTGACCTCCACAAAATTGCACGTCACAGGTGCACTCACATATATGCCGGCAATATACTCCAACACATAAAATTAAAACAACAACAACAACAACAACAAAAAAACAAACCTAGCACTTGAGAGGCTAGATTAAAAAAAAAAAGAAAAGGAAAAAAAAAAAGGAAGCTCATTGTGACATCTGTAGAATTTATTTCTGTTAATTTATACAAGAAAGTATAGGAGAAATGGGTGTGTGACCAAGGTTGGGTGCTTGTTTCTGCCAACCTCCCAAAAAAAGTAGATATAAAATATAAGTCATGAGCTAACTTTGCTGAGTTAAAAATTTGAGGAGGCGCCTTTTTGAGACCCTGTCTTAAAAAGACCAAAAAAGAAAGAAAAGAAAGAAAGAAAAAAATTGTATCCTAGCTTTGCTGCTCGTTTGCTCCAATTATGGCTGACCCTGGGTTTAAGTTGCCCTGAACTTCAGCATAAGAATATTAACAGTATGGGACTGGAGAGATGGCTCAACTGTTAAGAGCACTGACTGCTCTTGCAGAGACCCAGGTTCAGTTCCCAGCACACACATGGCAGCTATCAACTGTGTAACTCCAGTTCCAGGGGATCCAACACCCCCTTCTGACCTCCGAGGGCATTGCACAACATAGGTCCATATATGCATGCAGACAATACATTCATACACATAGAATAAAAATAAAGATTTTTTTTTAAAGGATAGTAACAGTACTTGGTCATGAGGGGCTTTGTGAAGCTTGGCTCTTTGTGCTGAAGACTTGAAAAGTGTGTATAGCTGCATTTATTAACTAAATGGCGATAAAGATCATGATGGTGTGACTATAATACAAAAGGAAGTTATGAGAGCATTGCTTAGGTCATGTAGTTTTTTAAAAAGTTGAATTTGGCTACGTGAGTTGCATATGCTTCTAGTACCAGCACTTGGGAGGCAGAGACAGGTGAATCTCTTGAGTTCAAGGTCAACTTTGTCTAGTCTACACAGAAGTTGAGACTGAAAATCTCCTGAAGGATATTTAAGAACCATATTTTAAATATCCCTAGATTCTTTTAGTACTGGGTCTGGTGCACAGTAGTATGGATATTTTTATATAATTGTTTAATGATTAACTCACACACACAAAAAAAACAGGTTCCAAATCTGAAAGAGACTCTAATTTTATGTTTAGGTAAATTCAGTTCTAATAGCATTTAGGATTTGAGTTACAGTTTCCTGTGTGTGTAAATAATCATTGTTTATTTGGGCTCCTGTAATATTTTCTGGTTTATTAGATTACCTTTACTTTTGTTTCATTCTTGAGGTAATTTGACTTTTCTAAGTTGCTAAACATAGCACAAAGATACAGAAAACAGTTGTATATTTTAGTCAATTCTACATTAAACAGCCACTACCCAGGTCAAGAATAGGACATTACCAGTACCCTAGAAGTTTCTCAGGTTTCCTCTACTGAACATATTTCCCTTCCCCTAGAAATATCCATGGTCTTACTGTGTTTTTGTCTATGTATTTTATCTCCATGCATATGCTACTAAAATATTTAAATCTTGAACTTTATTCCATACTGTCTATATTCTGTTGTGGCTAGTTTGTTTCTGAAACCCAACCATGTTGCATGCAGTTGTCATTTGTTAAAGCTAGTGTCATGAAGTCAACAATTTCTCAGTTCTGGTATTTGACATTTAGGTTGTTTCATGGATTTTGGGTTTTAAACAGTGGTGCTGTGAACATTGTTATACACAAATCTAGGGTATACCCTTGAGAAGGATATTTAAGTATGAGAATCTATTAAATCTATTCCACCAAACTTTTCCCAAAGAAATTGAACCAGTACCAGTTTTCATTCCCACCAGCAGGGGTATATCAGTGCCAACTGCATTACATCCTTATCAGCTCTTTTTCAGGTAGCTAATTTTGTGGAGTGGATTGATACCACATGGCTTGTTGATATTGTTTCTTTGCACTTTGATTTTTGAGATTTTGTAGCCATGGTTGGCCTTTAACTGATCCTCCTGCCTCAGCTTCCCAAGTGCTGGGATTATAGACATGCACCACTACATACAACCACAGTAATGGTTTAATTTTAATTTGTGTTTTCCTGATTTCTACCTAGGTTGGGCATTTTCAGATCTTCATTGGCCATTCCAAATCTTTCTCTGCAGTATACATGTGTAGGTCCTTTATGCATTCTTTTACTGGGCAAATAAGATTTTGGGGGCATTTTAAATTTATTTTGAAGTAAATTCCTTTGTTATATGCATATAGTTAATCTTCCACTTTTTGGCTTGCCTTTTAGTTGCCTAATGTCTCTTGGTGAACATGTAATTCATCTTAAGGTCATTCCAGTTTATTGACCTTTATAATTAGCATTTTCTTTTAATACTTAGACATTGCCCTTTTCAAGGCCATGGATATTGGGTTTTGTCTTTAAATTTTTTTCTTTTTGCTAATATTATAGATAGTATTTAAAACTTAAGGCCTGTCATGGTGGCACACATCTTTGATTATAGCACTTGAGAGGCAGAGACAGATCTCTGTGAGTTTGAAGCCAGCCTAGTCTAAGTAAATTTCAGGTCAGGTGGGGTTATATAGTGAGACCCTGTCTCAAAAAAATATTTTTTAAAATTTATTTTCATTGTTATGTGTCTATGTAAGTATATGCTATATGCTTACAGGTGCTCACCAAGATGAGAAGAGGGCATCTGACCCTGGTGTTACAGGCAGTTATGAGTTGCTCATTGTAGGTGCTAGGAATTGAGCCCTGGTCCTCTGCAAGTACAGAGATTAGCTTGTGATTACCTGTAACATATCCTTGATGTCAGTCATGTTAGCCTCTTGAAGCAAATTAGAAAGTTCCTTATATTTTGCTCTTTGTAATAGAGTTTGTATGAAAAATGTGATGTTAC